GGGCCCGTTTGCTAGTCGTGGTAGGGCGCTGGATGGCGTGCTTGTGAGTTATCACGTAGTCTGGCGAAGGCATTCTGTCTCTCGAGTTCAATCTCATTAGCGAGATTCTGGTTCTTTGGTAGTCCCTCGAAGACAGGCTGTGAGTGTCTCCACAATGCCTTCCATTACTCCTATCTAGCACTTGTTAGCAGTATCAAATGGAGACGTTGGCCGAGAGAACGCAGATGCTTCGAGTTGTTGAAGTATCGGGAGGCGCGAAACTCATGCCTTTGTGCAAGTCATATTATTACACAATTCGAACAGACTCAACGGCTTGGAGCAGCAACAAATACCCTGATGGCCAATTGCGTTTCGTATGTATGAGGAACGCGAGCACCCCGAAACTCAGGACTTAAGATGGAAGTGAACACTATTCAAGCATGGCATGATGCTGCTTTGGAACGACGGCTCTCTTTGGAGCTCTCCTTGAGTGATTATTTAGGCTGACGAAATGGAATGCCGACTATGTAAGCTGCTTCTCCCCGAGAGGAAGCTTCCGAGGGTGTATGCCACCTTGCAAATTACCGCTGAGAATGCTCTAATATACAAGCATCCCGGCTCCATCTTAGGTGCCGTTGATGCTAAGCTTACTACATAGCAGAAACCGAAGAACAAAGGGTATGATGCACCATTCCTAGAACCGCCCAAGTCAACTTTTCCTTTTCCCATCTAGTTAGTTGCTCCACAGCTGGCATCGATGATAGGGAATGTGGTCCCAAAGACCGACATGAGCATCAATCTGGCGCCATTCGTCCTCATTAGGATATTCTAGCCTTCGGTAAAATCCCACGGCTTCATTGCCGTCCGGACCGCTTCGGCGTCCCTCTGCTCCTCGTCGTCGTCCTGCACGCAGTCTTGCCAGTAGATCCGCTTTTCCAGACCCATCAGCTTGGCCATGACCTTGCGCGGGTACTGCAGGTCGAAGCGGACATTCTCGTCAAAGTGCATCAGGAGACTCTTGCTGGCAATCCGGCCGCCGTCGGCGCCTTCGTCATCCTCCTCATGCCAGATCCAAATTCGCACGTAGTCGCCCTGGACCTCGTCGCTGATGCCAAAATCTTTGACCTGCAGTTTTGGAAGCTTGAGATTCTCCGCTTCGACGCGGAAGGCTGCCTCTACTAGACCTTTGCGAATCAGGTTGGACGATACGGGCATGAACTGCCAGTGTGCGTGGATGTTGGCGGCTCGGTTAATCTCCCATGTGACGCCGCCGAGCTTGTGTTTAGATTTCGTTGAGACCATGGCTTGTAGTGAATCTCGGAACCGAGTCATCTCTTTGAACGTGTTATCCGCCTCTTCGCCTGCCATCGTTGCCCGGCTGATTCTCGGATTGTGGTCCACGGTCACAATCATCATATGCGCAGGAAAGTCAATGCCGTGTTCAGCGAATGTTTCTGATGTGGAGAGCGGACCCTTGGCGGTAGCAAGATAAGTAGACTCCCCAATAAGAACCACTGTCTTGATGTCCGCGGCGGCGTTCGCCAAGCACAGGAAGCATTGGTCTTGGCTCAGCGGTTCTGCTCCCTGGCGTTTCTTGCGTAGATGGCGCGGTCGCCGGTCGTGATCGTTCCCGTTGGAGAAGCGTGAGAAGGCGGCATCCTGAGGCGGCCGTCGCTTCCGCGATTCTCGAGCAAGAAAAGGCGACGGCGTGCTGCTAGCTGGCGCCGTCGAGCCCGTCTGTAGTGTGAATGCATACATGGCCTTGGCCTTGGCGGCGTTGCCATACGTCGCCATGGAAATGAATCGTGTATACTGCTTCTCGACCTCCGCATCTGCCGCCTCCTCGTTGAGTGGGTGGAAGAACGGTTCTCGCTCGAAGAAGAAGTCTGAGTATGAAGGGCTGAAATGGTAACGCGGCTTCAGCGCTGCACACAGGTCTGCGACCGCATCGCTGCCGGTGATGGACGCTGGGTCAAAGGGCAAAGCAACTCCTGACCCGTTCCACACCCCGGAGGGCCACATTGTAGTAAGCAGAATATCGGCCGAGTTCGCGCCTTTGAGAGACTTCGCGTCGTCTGGTGTGTGTAGAGGTAGATACTGCTCTTTCGACTGACCACCCACAATATCAGGGTCCAGTATACCGCCTAGTGTTGCTATACGTATTCCATCTGAAGTCTTGGTTACGCTGCGCTTGCCCAGGTAGTGCAGGTTCGGACATATCTCCTCGTCCTTCTCGATCTTCTCCACGATGCGCGACGGGAGGGCAGTGTTTCCAACGGTGAAATATGTAGATACGGGGACCTCAATCTTTCCCTCGAGGAGATTCGTGACTGCTCCGTCGTCTTGCTCGCCGAACAAGTTGCCGACCACGAGGGCGAGGGAGAAGTTGTTCTTCGAATGAAGGGCGGTGAGCTTGGCAAACGCTGACTCCAATTGGCCGTTGACGTTACCAATGACAAAGCTAGACAAAGTCAGTATACTTGGAAGCTTCGTGTGCGTGAGCCTTACATCTTTGCCGCCATGGTTGCGCGCTCAATGGCCCCCTTGCCAGGAACCCTCTTCCAGGGAACTTCAAGACCGCTTAGGTTCGCGACTGGATAATCAACATGCCCTTGAAGTTGATGAAAGTAAGAGTGTACGGCGGAAAGTTCAAGTGAATGCGATTGTAGTAGAAGTAGCGCTTGGACTAAGTTGTCACGGATTGTTGCTTTATCGAAGTTGTCGCAAAGTGTGAGGAGGATGAAGCTGGCGGGTTCAATTGACGTTAGCTCTAGCACCGATAAGATTATCTTAGCGTACTGGAAATTCTGCCGAAGCGCGGTGAGCCGAAACAGGGCAAGGTAAAGCAATGACCCCACCAGACGGGAAACACTCTCTGTTCGCGGTGACCGAAGACTGTTTGTGATAGAACCTGGCCGGGTCTCAAATGCATATATGTATTCAGAAGTAAATATGTAAAGAGAGATTTCATAAAGAATAGAAATGGGATGGGCTGGTAGTCTAGTCTAGCGGTGCTTGGATGTCTGGACTTATACCAGGGCACCTGAGGTGGGCACCATCATCGTGCTATCAGCTTATCTTAGCGTCTTCCGCCCTCCACCGCCAAAAAATTTCGGGCAGGCCGCCTTCACAGAGTACTGCCATTCTCTCCCACTCAAACATCTTCTCATGGCCCTGGACCGAGATTTAAGCTGAAGCGCAACCGGCTTCACTCGAGTCAAAATGCCCTCAAAGGCCTCAGGGCGGATTGTTAAGTCCAAAAGGGCAATAAAGACTACACCACACCAGAAAAATCACCGATGGGAGTCCTTTACTACCAAGGTCGCCCTGCTCCATTCCCTCGATCCCCTCCGAAAAGTACGCCGTCATGACCTCGATGCCGAAGACATTTCCACGACCACCTCATACTTCCGCAATGGCGTCGAGAAATGGGCAGATCTCAATATCTCCAAGCCCTTTACGGACTTTAAGAGGGCAGTTCTGCCTCTCTGCGAGTCGCTCCCGCAAATACTCCACTTCGAGGAGAAGATCATGGGCTTGCTCGCCTCGTACATAAGTCTACAAGAGAAGGAGGCCCTCGAGCCTCTATTAGACCTTTTGACTGCATTTGCGCATGATCTAGGAGTGCGCTTCGAAAAGCATTATCAGAAGAGCCTGGAGCTTATCGTGTCTGTCGCTGGAAGACCGCAAGATGTGGAGGTTATTGAGTGGACATTCGCCGCTCTGGCATGGCTATTCAAATACCTGTCAAGACTCTTGGTCCCGGACTTGAGACCGACGTACGATATATTGGCACCATTACTAGGCAAGACAAGGCATCCGCCACACATTGCAAGATTTGCGGCAGAGGCACTGAGTTTCATGATCAAGAAGGCAGCGGCTCCGGCGCACCGGGAGAAGGCATTGCCATTGATCATCCAGCACATTCGAGACGACTTGCAACAAGCCTTCGGGACGAAACAGTTTGAGTTGTACTATAACGGCATCATGACCATGTTTGCCGAAGCAATGAAGAGCTCTGGGACGACACTTCACTCTACCGCTCCCGAGATTTTTAACGCACTTCTGGCTGCTATACCTGGCGAAGAATTCAACTTTCAAGTGACCTCAGTGTGGTCTGACGTGTGCTGTGGTGTTTTGACCAGCGTTATTCACCACTCGACACTGGAGACTTTTGAGGCGCTTGCGGATGCCATAATCGCGGAGGCGCCAATGGGAATGACTAGCTCAGATTTCCAAGCTAACGAGCCAAAAGGTCTGATATTCATCAGAATTTTTGCCATCATGGTAGGAGTTCGCAATGGCTCAAGAGTTAGTGATTGGTCCGGCTTGATCCGAGGACTGACCAAGAGCCTTGAGAGTCTCTCAAACACCACTGAGAAGACAGTTGTCGATAACGAAATTGTGGCTTGGCAGCACATAATGGTTAACACGGCCATAGCATTGAGCCTGGCGCCTATGGATTCTCTATTGGCTTCAATATCCGACTTGACGAAGATCCTCACACGGGAGCCTTTCATGAGAATGTATATACCATTCTGCGCCTACTTCGCCGAACTGAACCCAGCGCGATTCCAGGGTCTTCTGCAGAAATCTTTTCAAAGGTTTATAATTGCGCACTGGTCTGACGGTAGCAATGAAGAAATGCTCTGCAGCCTTCTTCCGAGGATGGTAGCGAACGGCGCGTTACCTGCTGGCGAGGAGAAGGATAGCTGTGCCCTGCCTCAATCATGGCAAGCTCAAATTGTAAGTAAGTTTGAGCGACTGGAAATAACTCCCTTCCCCGAGCGAGGATCTTACGACAAAGACGCAAAAACGTGGCGAGATAAGTGCTTGCCGAAGTACTCTTCACTTTTGCAAGTTCTGGAATCCACGACAGTACATCCCTCGACGAATGCGAGAATTGCGGAGCTGCTTCTCAGGAAGCTGAAGCTCGCACTACGACCATCCTCATCTCTTGCAACAGACGAATCGCACTTCATTGTGAGCCAGGGATTTCGTGCGTACTTGCGGATGAGCAAAGCGTCTGGCTCCGTGGACGCCAGCATAAGCCCTCTTCTCAAGGCTGCTGCAGCTCGATTCTCGAAAATACCTGGGTTCCTCGACGCATTCCTCGATTATATGCTTGAGTTGGCCTCAACAGACCAACCTAAGCAAGACAGTAGCAGCGGGAGCGAGAGTCCAACCACGGAGGAAGACCCCTTAGTTGCATGTCTCATCTCCAATCTCAGCGCGCCTTCTCATGATCTCAGACTGGCATCTTTAAAGATTCTTGATATCCTTCAAATTACGCCTGATCAGCACTCATGCTTGTCCACCATGATTGCAACTGAGCAGATTCCCCTTGATCACACGAGTCCTCGAGTGATTGCTGTACATCTTCGCAAGCTAGGGCAGTCATACAGTCATACAGATGAAAAGTCATGGCTACGACAAGCCGTGCCAGCATTTCTCTTTGGCATGATGACCATACGGCTCTCTCCTGTGTGGGATGAAGCGATCGAAGCGATGAAGGCTATTGCTACTACCAAGACTGCAGACGACGTCATCTCAAGCCTTGCGTTTGAGTGGCTTGATGTTCCTTCGCCCAAATGGGAGGGTCGTTCGAATGAGGTAGTTGGTACCAAGAGATACGGACTAACTGATTTTGAATGCCAAAATTTCGACCGATTGCGAGACGTGGCCAAAGAAACTACTCGACTTATTGACGATCCTACCGATGTTATGCTCCAGACATTCGAGGACAGGCAGGAAATCGTGCTGGCCCGGCCCGAGAACGCGAGACACAAGGCTCTCAAAATTCTCACAGCCATCCCGGCAGTTGCGGAGAAACGATCTCGCAAGCTGGTGCCCTATCTCTTCGCTGTGAGTGATAGCGGAGACGCATTCGCGGATGAAGAAGACGGAGAGGAGACGATCCAACAAGAAGCTTGGTTTTTGACAGACAAGAAGGCTCTTATTGGTGTTTTCGCTCAGTTTATCAATCCCAAGGTTTTGTATCAGAGCTCGAGAGTGTATAATGCTCTGCTGACCTTCATGGCAAATCGCGACATCGAAGTTCAGAAGCTTGCTCTTAAAGCAATCCTGACCTGGAAGCTCGACGGCATCAAACCATACCAAGAGCATCTAGAGTATCTCTTAGACGAAGCAAGATTCAAAAACGAACTCACTGTTCTGTTCCAAGGAGATCAGAAGATTCAGCCGGAGCATCGTGCTGAGTTGATGCCTGTTTTGCTCAGACTTCTTTACGGGCGGGCAATTTCAAAGAAAGGAGCAGCAAGTGGACGAAATGGGTTGCATGCAACACGACTCGCTGTCATCCGTAACCTGTCCGTGGAAGATCTTGGCGGGTTTATCGAGATCGCTCTGGGAGATCTTTGGCAAATCCGCATCGTCGACGATTCCGGCCTTCAAGAAACCGCATTCAAGAACGAGGTTGTATCGGCCCGCAAACAGGTTGGTGTGCTGAACATGACCGAGTCTATTATCAATGAGCTGGGCACAGACGTCTCGGTTTACATGGAACCCTTGGTCAATGCGGTTCTATACTGCCTCATTTCAACATGCCGCAAGTTGCAAGCGACCAATGAGGATAACGATGAAGAGGATGGCGAGCGTAGCGAAAACTCTCTCTTGAAAGTAGCAAGAACAACATCGTTGAAATGTCTGTGTGCATTGTTCAGAAACAATACTTCGTTCGACTGGACACCCTACCGGGAACACATGGTCTCGGAAGCAATCAGTCCTCGAATTGAGAAACTCGCGTTAGAGACAACACAAGGTGTGTCGTGGACCTGGAGAATCCTGGAGACGTGGTCACTGCTACCGCGGAATGCACTCTTTCTCTCGCTTGATCAGCGAATCATCCCTGAGATCACCAAGTCACTTTCCATCGAGAAGGGCAAAGACGAGCCTAAGATCTTTGCTCTGGGAATCATCAGAAACCTAGTGAAGCTTGCACAAGCCCCAGCTGCCGAGTCAGAATTCAACGAACTTATTCAAGCAGAATTGTTGGATCCAAACATCGATGGAATTCTTGGCGCGATAAGCCATGTACTCCGCGAACAACATGATATTGGTCGCAACCTCCTGGAGGCCTGCGTAGATACTGTGGTGGAGCTCTCGCCATTGGTGAAGGAATCTAAGAATGTGGAGAATCTGCTTGATATTTCCACATATCTGCTGCAACAACCTCTCCGAAGAGTCAATCCAAAGGTGAAAGGCTCAATCCTCCTTATTCTCGAGCACTTCATCGTTCTAGATGATTTACAGCGCAATATTGAGCTGAAGCAGACCGTCTACCATACATTAGCGTCCTTGTTCAGTTTCTTCAAGGATAAGCAGAACAGAGAGTCACTCTCACGAGTATTAATCGTGTTTGCGGCTCAGGAGACGTCGCTGCAGGAGGTTGCGAAACTTTGTGCAGACTTGAACTCATATGTGGAAGGCAGGTTAGATGAGCCGGACTACGACAAGCGTCTTGCTGCTTTCAGAAGCATCACTCGCGAGCGCGAGGTCCAGCTCACTGTTGAGCAATGGCTACCATTGTTGAACAATATGGTGTTCTTCCTTCGTCAAGATGAAGAATTTGGTATTCTGTCGACCAACGCAGCCGATGTTTTGTGCACATTTGTGAATGCTGCGGTTTCTGCCTGGGATCTGCCATCAAAATCCCCATATGTCACACAACTTTCTGATGTGATCCTGCCAGCAATCTATGCCGGCGTTCGTGAGCCATCAGAGGCTGTTCGACGCGAGGTATTGAGACTCCTCGGTCACCTGGTCACTCAACTGGGAGTTTGGGAACCATTGAGTGATCTCACTTCACTAGCGCCGGCGAAAGACGAGGAGTCAGACAAGGCATTCTTCTTCAACATCCTCACACCGGCTGTCTCTAGACAAGTTCAGGCACTTCAACTTCTTGTATCAGTGAATGAACGCTCGCCGTTCAGCAGCAAGAATGTCAGTCAGATATTCATTCCACTGTTAGAGCACTTCATCTTCGGACGTGAGGAGGGTAGCGATGATCAAGGACTAGGAGCTCAGGCAACTAGCACTATTGCTAGCCTGTCTGTGTCTCTCGATTGGTCTCAATACAGGGCTATCCTGCGACGATACATCGGCTTCCTCGAATCAAAACCAGAGTTGCAGAAGCAAGTGATACGACTCCTGGACAAAGTCGCTGATTCGCTTGTTTTTGCCAAAGAGCATGGCACCGAAACAAAAATGGATCTCGATCAGTCAGAGTCTGGCCAAGTCAAGTACCGCTTGGCGACTACTCTCCCTAACGAGACAAAGATTGGAGAGGAAGTTTCCAACAACTTTCTGCCGTTGATGTTGAAACACCTACACGACAAAGACGAAGAAACTGTCAGCGCCAGAGTTCCCGTCGCTGTGATTATAGTCAAACTTCTGACGATTCTACCCGAGAACATGCTCAATACAAAATTACCCGGAGTTCTGACTGATATATGCCATATTCTGCGGTCGAAGGCCTGGGAGTCTCGAGAAATGTCCAGAAGCACTTTGGCCAAAATTGCGTGCATACTTGGACCTGGCTCTTTTGGTTTCATTCTGAAGGAGCTTCGAGGAGCTCTGACCAAGGGCTACCAACTTCACGTGCTTTCATATTCTCTTCATACACTTCTCCTCGCCGTGATACCGGAATTTGCTCCAGGTGAGCTCGACTATTGTCTTGATTCAATCATGGCCATAATTATGGACGACATCTTTGGTGCTACGGGCCAAGAGAAGGATGCCGAAGAATACGTGTCTAAGATGAAAGAAGTCAAGAGCAGCAAAAGTCAGGACTCGATGGAGCTGATCGCCAAGAATGCATCTGTCAACCAGCTCGCCAGCCTAATCAGGCCCCTACAGTCTCTCTTGTCCGAGAAGCTAGACGTGCGGACTGTTCGCAAGATCGATGAGCTACTGAATAGGATCTCGTCTGGTATCCTACAGAACAGATCTGCTGAGAGCCGAGACACTCTGGTGTTCTGTTATGAGGTTATTCAGGACGTTTACAAGGCCCAAAAGCCTCGAGCAGAAGCCCAAATTGACCCAAGAGTCAAACGATATTTGGTTCAAAAATGGGTTCGCAATACTACCAAAGGCGAAAAGTATACACACAAGCTCATCCGATTCTCAATCGATGTCCTTCGCTCTGTGCTCCGGAAGCATGACAGTCTAAGGAACGCAGCTAATGTCAGTGGCTTCCTGCCCATACTCGGTGATGCGGTCGTTGCTGGTGAAGAAGAGGTCAAGGTCGCCGCCTTCAAGCTTCTCGTCGTCTTGATCAAGGTCCCATTCAAAACGACTGAGTCAGCCGATCTCTACAAAGTCGCCTTCAAAGAAGCGCTCAAGTCGATTTCAATATCCATCACAACTACGAGCGATATTGCGCAAACAGCCTTAAAGCTCTGCTCCCAAGTTATCAGAGACCGCCGAGAGATACCTATCAAGGATGCCGCAGTCGACATGCTGCTGGGGAAGCTGAAGGATGACCTCACACAACCGCTTTACAGACATGTCACCTTTAACTTTCTGAGATCAGTCCTTGACCGTAAGGTCGAGACCGCAACTGTATACGACACTCTTGACTACGTTGGCACGATTATGATTACGAATGATGATAAAGATACCCGTGATCTAGCGCGAGGAGCGTACTTTCAGTATCTCCGAGAATATCCACAGCAGAAAAAACGGTGGACAAAGACCAAGGAGTTCGTGGTTGCCAACCTCAAGTATCAGCGAGAAGGGGGTCGTCTGTCGGTTATGGAGATCATACATCTTCTGCTCATGAAGACTGCGGACGATTTTGTCCAGGAAGTGGTCGCCACCTGCTTCATTCCGTTGGTCTTTGTCCTGGCGAACGATGAAAGCGAGCGTTGTCGCCTTGCCGCAGGCGAGCTGATCAAGGAGATATTCAGGAAGGCTGATAAGGAGCGTTTGCAGAAGTTCCTCACACTCCTGAGATCTTGGATCAGCCAAGATGAGAATGCCGCGGTGCTCAAACTCGCTTTGGAGGCCTTTTCATTCTACTTCGCTGCAAAAGAGGAAAGCGTCAAAGATAAAAGGGATATAGAGCTCGTCATCAAGAAAATCACTGGAGTGCTGGGTGAAACGCAGTCTGACTGGGAACTCTCGAATACTGGCCTCAGAGTTGTACAAACTCTCCTAGGCAACTTCCCAGCAAAAATATTGTCTCAGGACTCGCAAGAGTTATGGACTGTCGTCATCTCTTCGTTGGCGCATCCTAGGGAAGAGGTCGTGCTCAGTTCTATAAAGCTTTTAGGCTTGTATCTCGCCGATTTTGCCAGCAACGCGGCGAGCGGCTCAGAAGCCCAGACTTTGAAGGGCTCCTATGGCCTTACCTTAGACCAGGACCAGACCACACAACTCGTCCGTCACATGCTTGATGTTTTGTCAGGCCTTGAAGTTGAAGAGGGGTTAGCGGCTGAGGCTGCTCGAATTCTTCTTTTCCTTGGCGCTTTTCTCGATTCAGATGTCGACGCTTCCGACTTAGAAGAGCGTGACGAAGATGATGATTTCTTCAAGGACGAGGAAGTCGATGTTACCATGGGATACGTGTTCTCTAAACTATCGGCCATTGTGAGAAGAGAGACGCCACCACGAGCGTCGGCTTTGGTTGGCAAGCTAGCTGCGATCGAAGCGCTCGAGGCATTCTGCATCAAAGCAACCAAGGAGGACATCAAGGCCTCTGTCCGGACGATCCTCAGGCCATTACGCCACCTCACAGATCCTTCCATTCGCCCCCCTTACGTCCTTGATGAGACCTTCAAGTCTCGATACGAGTCTCTTAAGACTAAAGCACAGTCTATTATGGAGCTACTGCAGCAGAAGCTGGGAGCCTCAGACTACACAAAGGACCTCCTCGCAGTAGGCGAAGAGATCAAAGATAGGAGACAGCAACGCTCAAGTAAGCGCAAGATCGAAGCAATCACCCAGCCTGAGAAGTTCGGCAGGGAGAAGAGGAAGAAGATGGATAAGAAGAAAGAGAGGAAGAAGGCCAAGGGCCAAGAACACCGAAATCACAGAAGAGGCTACTGATACCTCAAGGATTCGCGTGCATAGCGTAACGAATAATTATACATGATGAATTGTACAATGCTTTCTATCATACATCGTAAATGCTTGGTACATTAGACTCGAGTTCTATGCTCGATCGCCGTATTAATGAGTGGTGTGGTAATCCCACGATTTTTGCGATTCTAAAAGTAGTACAAGCTGGATGGCTCTGTCCAGCAGGGTATAATAACAGAAGCCTAACGCCGTACGCAATAGTCCATCGTCTATCCTATGTCTCGACTCTCCCTATCAGGTCGCCTTACTCCCCCTTCCGAATGATGTCCCAGGCGCAGAACCGTCATCTTTAGCCTTGTTTACTCGGGGAGCAGGCTCCGTAGTCAATCTCTCTTCACGATTTGTAGTCGTCCCGTCCTCCCAGAACTCGACATCGCCATCTTCGCCGAGGGTTCCCCTCTTCACGAGCTGGCCCTTTTCTCGCATGAGATCCTCGACAGTGATCTTTCGATTGCCAAAGATGTTCAAATGGTCGCTTATAATGTGCCTGTTGCGACACGACGGGCAGGTGATGAGGACGCTGCCGTGGTGGTAGCCCTGCTTGGAGATGTTGTGTGCGGAGCGTGTGCCGCATGGAACACAGGTAAAAGAGAGCTCGTAAGTTGGCTGCTGGGGCCGCGATGCTCGCTGCGGTGCTTTTGATTGTGACTCAGATTGTATTGTGGATGGGGTTGAAGAGGGTGGTCGTGGGATACTATGCGCGAAGCGGCTCGTTGAAGGTAACGATATCGACGGATGCCACACTGCAGGCCGATTTACACAGCCGGCTCTGAAACTCGTTCTCGAAACATTGCGCGCTGGCCTAGAGAGCGCAGAGAACAACGCTGATACCCCTTTGGAAGTCATCTTGTTCGCGGAAATGATCGGTTCCATGCGACCAGTATCTGTTTCCTGAAGCAAGTGAGATCCAGAACAATTGCTTCCCGCGTCGTTGGTCAGCTACCTACGTGCACCCATCCGGCAGAAAAAAGATGATGAGGCGGGATGCTTATCGCTTATCCGGCCGAAGATTTGGCCGATCCGGGGATATAGGTACAGGTGGTGTAGGTGTCTGACAACAGTAACGGTACCACCTTCCAGCAAAAGATACATCAGTCCTAACAGGATCGAGGACTAACTGGCAATAAAGAGATATATCATTAGTATTGATACATTTTTGTTAGTAAAACGGGCGTCTAGTTCATCCACCAGGAATTTACTGCATAGTAGTGGTGTCGAGTCTTCTTTGCCTCTCCCAATGCCTGCAAGGGTGGGGCTAGAGGCCCACACCAGCGAGCTCTCTCAACCAACCACAGCTGGGTCGTGAATGGCAGACGAGGCGGGCACAGTGGGATGCACGATGTATACCTATTTGGTAGGGCACCTGGAGGTAGCTATTTTGGAGGCCACTGCCTTTCAGCACACCAACAACCCAACCAAGAACAACAACAGGCTCCGGTCGCGTCTGGGGGCTTCTTTCTGCTTCTTCTTCTTTTCTTTTCAGTTCAGTGCGATGCCTACAGTCATTCAGCCTCGCCAAGACGGGCAAGAAGACGACTTTCTTCGGCGGATCTCCTCTCCTCTATATCGACGATACCGCTGTCTGTGACCGCTATCGCCGCATTCACCCCACTACCAAAAAGGGCATAACTGGCCTATCAGCACGGTCTGACAGGACGAACGACGACTTAAACGCCAAGTACGAGGAGAGACGAGGAGACAAGCTAAAGAACATATCAGGTTGCCATCACGATGATGCACCGACCTGGTGGGAAGATCCGACCGCCACGCCGGGTAAGCATCGTTCATGGCCATTTGATACAAACCTTGCTTTGCTACTGGTTCAAGTTGACGTTTTCAACCTGGGATATGATGCTGATATACTACAGCCCATTGCCGCGCGAGGTGAGACCAACGAATTCGAGACCTGCTGGAACACCCTCAAAGAAGCCCTAGTCGACATTCACAACCGAAACGCCGGCAAACTCTCCTTCGAACAGCTGTACCGAGCCTCATACAAGATTGTACTAAAGAAGAGAGGAGATGAGCTCTATGATAAGGTCAAGCTCTTCGAGGAACAATGGTTTCACGACAAGGTCATTCCCGCGATACAGGGGTTGCTCTCGCGAAATCTCATCACCATGACTGTGGATGGCCTCCCGGGCACGACTGCGAATGAGCGAAGACAAATGGGCGAGAAGTTCCTGCGGGGGCTGAAAGACTCTTGGGAAAGCCATAATTTCTCCATGAACATGATTGCGGACATTCTGATGTATTTGGACCGTGGCTACACGACCGACACCAAACGACCCTCCATCTTCACTACTACAATTGGCCTCTTCCGAGATAATATCTTACGGTCGAGGCTTAATGACATAGGGTACGAGGGGCTTCTGACGGGCGTGTTCAACGCCGTCGCCCTCGATCTGATCAATATGGAGCGGGAAGGCGATGTTATAGACAGAAATCTGCTGAGGAAGTGCATTTCCATGTTTGAGGATCTCTATGAAACAGACGATGAAAACGATGACGACAAGCTATACCTCACGACTTTCGAGCCAGAGTTTCTCGACGCGAGCAGGCGGTTCTACCGGCAGGAAGCGACCAGGCTGGTTCGCGACTCAGACGCTGGCACCTGGCTTCGCCACACGCAGCGTCGATTATTCGAGGAACAGGAGCGTTGTGAGACGACTATTTCGAAGCTCAGCGCGGCGAATATTGCCAAGGTGGTGGACGAGGAGCTCATCTCGAGTCATCTTGAAGAGTTTCTTGCCCTTGAAGGCAGTGGACTCAAGTCAATGATCGACAACGACCGGCTCGAGGATCTGACCATTCTCTACCAACTAGTCTCCCGAGTGGACGCCAAGAAGGAAGTTCTGAAGAATCTTCTACAACGGCGTGTTGTTGAGCTTGGTCTAGAGATCGAGAAAGTCCTTAAAAACACGGATTTTTCAGTGCAACAAACTGCGGCGGAGGGAGATGACGGGGGAGAAGGTGCGGAGAAAGCGAAGCCGCAGCCGTTGACTGGAGCTGCTCAGACAACTGCTGCTGCTATTAGATGGGTAGATGATGTTCTTCAGCTGAAGGACAAGTTCGACCGTATCTGGACGCAGTGCTTCGATGAGGATCTTGTCATCCAAACTGCCCTGACAAAGAGTTTCTCAGACTTTATCAACATGTTCCAGCGAAGCTCAGAATACGTTTCTCTTTTCATAGATGACAATTTGAAGCGTGGCATCCGGGGCAAGACAGAGATAGAAGTCGACGCCGTTCTAGAGAAAGCCGTCACACTTATACGGTTCCTCCAGGATAAGGACATGTTCGAGAGATACTACCAGAAACATCTCGCTCGCCGGCTGCTCCATGGCAAGTCGGAGAGCCAAGATGTCGAGAAGCAGATGATTTCTCGCATGAAGCAAGAAGTCGGAAACCACTTCACCACCAAGTTCGAGGGCATGTTCAAGGACATGGATATTTCGAGAGACCTGGCAGAAGACTACCGCAGTCATATTCGTGGTCTAGGTGATGTCGACCGGAAAAATATTGAACTCAGCATCAGCGTTCTTACGAGCAACAACTGGCCCCCTGAAGTTATGGGCCGCTCATCACAACTGGAAGATGGCTCGAGGGTAGAGTGCAACTACCCTGCTGAGATTAAGAGCCTTCAGCAGAGCTTCTTCAAATACTACCTCAAAGATCGGAGTGGTAGAGTCCTCACTTGGGTTGGATCCGCCGGCACTGCGGATATCAAGTGTGTATTCCCCAAGATTCCCGGCAAAGAGACCGGCCCTCTCAGCAAGGAGCGGCGGTACGATCTCAACGTATCGACGCACGGAATGATTGTGCTGATGCTCTTCAACGACCTTGCCGAGGGAGAGTCGTTGAGCTTCGAAGAGATCCAGGCAGAGACCAACATCTCGCCTAACGAACTCAGCCGAGCATTGGCCTCCCTCTCAGTGGCACCCAAGGCCCGAGTTCTCACCAAGGAACCATCCACAAAGGCCGTCAGACCGGGCGACAAGTTCATGTTCAACACGTCCTTTGTCAGCAAGACGATCAAGATCAAGGCGCCAACAGTCAGCGCCGTCTCCAAGGTGGAAGGAGACGACGAGCGCAAGGAAACCGAGAAGAAGAACGACCAGACCAGAGCCCACATTGTGGACGCGGCAGTCGTCAGGATCATGAAGTATGCCCCCTCACCCCTTCAACCTATGGCTTCTGAAAGTTGCCGTACTAATCTGACTCTCCCGCAACAGGCAACGCAAGGAGCTGACGCACAATCTCCTCATCACGGAGGTCGTCAACCAGCTAGCTTCACGCTTCAAGCCCGACGTGCCCCTGGTCAAGAAGCGGATCGAGGATCTTATCGCGCGCGATTACCTCGAGCGCATGGAGGATTCTTCTCAATCGGCCTACCGATATCTTGCCTAAAAACCTGTCCCTTACCCCTGGACAGGCACTCGACGATACTCCGACCGATGCAGCGATACGGGGCACACACGTTGCATGCCCCCGAAATAACTGACGATGGATTTGACATGACGACGAAGCCATCGGGTACCGAGGCGTTGGTTGGTAGGCGGACTACATTTTGATCTCACGAATGCATGGATGCACGGTAGGCAGGCAGGCAGGCAGGTACCTAGACTCTAAGCTCGAGACTTGAGTTGGTTTGCTCCGAGGGCTTGTCGCCGTTAGTACTCGATAGCCTCTGATAGATGGGCTCGAGTGAAGCAAACAAAATTAAGGACAGTACCCTATCTTGACCCATCTCCGTCTCATGTGAAAGTTATACGAGAAGAGGCATCGTCACGCTGATGGTCGTATGCTCCTGAGTTATCGTGCCGAGGTGTAATTGTCTCGCCATCACGCAGGTGATGGTCGGATCTGTAAACGCGCTTGACAATACTCTCACATCATGAAAAGTACGCTGGGATGTGCACTGTGAATCCCATGCTGATTGGCGACGAGAGAGTAATCTGATTGGTGGCCCATATGCTCTGCGTGAAGGTTCCATTCTAACGTCACGTTTTTCGTCTTTTCAAGTATTGCACATTACACACATCTTAGTAGCAATAGGCCATTCCGAAATTCTCATTCAATTCAATTATCCACGAGGAGGCATCCAAAAGTGCTTCCTCTATGCAATTCCTCAAAAACGCAAATCATGTCCATCCTTTCATCCATCAGCTGGCACGTTTAAAGTGATCGTGACTTTCGTGCCTTTCCGTTTCCGCATTCATTCATCCACTCATCCACCCGTCCATGATGCGAAAGAGAGAAAGAAGTTCGCCCTTGTCGTCATAGAAGCACGCCCAGGTGTGCAGGGTACCGTACAATCGTACATAATGGGGGTATATTAGAAAAAAAAAGCAGTTTTGTAAAGAGGGAGCCACCGGGGTGCGGGCCGTGCCGCAGAGTATCGCAGGAAAGGTCATGAAAATGTCCATTAACGCAGTTTTCAGGTTCAACTCCGAAAGTGCTGAAGATGAGCTAAGAGCTCTATGATAGTGGAGGGGTTCGCAAGGCGACCCACAGTTGATCGAATTTGGGGTTCGATCAGAAGCGATGATGATCAATGGCACAATAAACGCCAGACGATGTTGTGTAAGTGGTGACTCTCCAGGGGCCGAGGTTCCGTGGCCATCCTTTACAGGCCTGCTTGAGCTGGCACCGAGCCTTCTGAGGCGCGGCGGACCATCTCAAAATCGCGCTGTGGGCGCTGTACGTGATGGAAGTCGAGCAAGAGCTCGACAAGAGTCTCTGCGTCTCGATGGAGCGCAGTGAGCTCTGCGGCGCCACTGCAAATGCTGCCGCCATCGTTACGAGCCTTTCTGTAGGCCGCAAAGACAATGCCGCGGTTGTTGTTGCGGCGCTTCTTCTGACCGGTCTTTCCAGCGCTCTGGGTACTGTTGGCATGCGTGTGCTGCATGCTGTGCTGCTCCGTCGCAGAGCCTGGGCAACGGGCATCGGAGCTGTGTCCAGTGTAGAACGAGCAGGCGTATCCGCGAGCGAACTCCTCGGGCTTAGCATCGTCTTGGCGAAACTCAACCCATCCGTCAGCGCGAAGAAACTTCTTGTGAATCGTAGCTGACAGGCGGAATGGGTGCTGGAGCTGAGCTAGTCCGTAGCCAGTGAGGAGGCGGCTAGTCATGCCCGAGTTCTTGCCAGTACAAGCTATTGTGCCGTCAAGGCAGATACCGTGATCGGAAGGAGCATGAACGGAGCCGCGAGGTGTCGCAAGTGAGCTTGAATCTGATAGCCAAGGCGCAGGTGAGATACTGGAGGTCGGCGAAGTAGGTGGTGATGAAGGTGAAGATGAGGCAGCGCTGATGCAACGGTTATGCACATGCGCGACGCGGTTTGGCCACAAGTTGACGATATAAAGAAGGTCGAAATCGTACTTCTTGGCGATCCGAGCAGCTTCCAGCGCAGCGAGAGCGGCTGGGACACCGGTGAGGGGAGATGAAGGCATGATGCCAGCTCGACTCGGAGACAGGGGAGCGGGGACCGGGATGCGGGCGCTAGGAGGCGGGACGGGTGGAGATGGAGGAAGGTGCCGAGGTGGTGGCCGCGCGGGGGTCAGGGGTGCTGGGATAAGTGACTTCCTTTCGCCAACGATTTCGTCGTCGCTGAGGGATAGGAACTCGCGGTACTTTGGCTCTTCAAGCACGAGGTCTCGCTTGAAATCTGACACCATTGGCGTGCTGGGTAAGTTGGAGTCGCTGACCACTTTCCGGAGAGGTATCTCGCGAGGTGGTGTCGGGCCTGCTGCCTCCTCAGATTGGGTGCGGAGGTGGTTTCTCAGACTGAACTCAGTGCTGAGTTTGGGGTGGCTCAACATCGAGTCGCGAATAGGCGTCATCTCAGGAGATGGACCAGGAGTGGGTTGACTCAAAAGAGGCGCCGGAGGCAAGCACTTGTGAAGGTTAGGTGACGGAGTTGTGGGCGAGTAGTTGTCGTCTTGATCGGAGGGTGGGGGCGTGTCGACGCGGAAGCTTGAATAGATTGGTAACGCTTCTTGTAGGCATCTCACAGCAGGCTTGGAATCTGGAAGAGAGTTTTTCTGAGGAAGAGAGATAATGAGGCGCGATGATGCGTCTGCGCTCCTTCTCTTCTTCAAGTTGGTCGTCTGCAAGGGTGTCATTCCATTGAGAGAAGGATCCTTTCTCCTCGCAAGGAGAGATGAGGAGCGATTGGGTATCCGAAGTGAGCTGCTACTTGAATTGGCGCTCTGATAGTCGAGTGGCTTGGTCTCCTGAGCATCATCGGAGGATAGTCGCCTAGACGACCTCTGGGTGGGAGGGGGGCTTCTTAATTGAGCGTTGAACTTCGGGACATGAGAAGCCTCGTCTCTGGCGAGCATGCGAGAGGCTTTGGGCCGTATGAAGGAGGGTGGCGGAAAGAGAGGCTGCAGAGGATCGGAATGCACTGAGCTAGTGAAGCTGCTGGTCGACATGTTGCTGCCGGTGGAACTGCGGGGAGATGCAGTAGTCTGGCTTGTCGTCGACTTCTTCTTGGAGAAGAACCTCTCGAGCTTGTCGAACCTGTGCGCCATGGTGCTTTGGAGGTGTCGAGAAGTGTCTGTTGCCGCCATTGGTGTCGTTGTTGTCAACAATGGAATTCGTCGCGGTGGAGGATCGGCATATACGGCGAGTGGAGACTTGAGAGACGTGGCTGGGGTGAGGTGATGCAGCGGTGAGCGGTGTTGGTGCAAAGGTGGACGAGCTCGGAAAGTTTTTATGCAGCTGAGAAGGCGTGAAAGTCCACGACTGACTATGTTCGTCCAGGGAACTTCGTGGCGAGGGATCCAAGGATATGAGGGATGCGCCGAGACGTGTGTGTGTGTGTGTGTGTGTGTTGATGGGCAGTCCGAAGGTGGTGATCCAGTGTAAGTGTCTCAGACGACTGGGCAGATGGGAGATTGGCGGGAAACACGAGGAATTAATTGTGCGCGACGAGGAGCATAGTGCGACCGTTGGACAGGCATTACACAACGGAAACAAGGCGATGCTCCTTGCCACGGCAGAATCAGGCTCTGGTCACCTCAATTGGTGATCAGAGGTTATTTTGGCGACGAGGAAAGCAGCCGTTGGGTGGAATGTGAAAGTCCAGGTCTGCCGAGGTCTGACCTGTTGTGCGCCGCTTCCCCTAGACCCCAGGTATTCCAACTCAATCCGCCCTTGAGCCCAATGGCATGCTATGCAAGTGAGTCAGGACAGAGACAACACAAATATAAATTAATATATAAGAGCGAGACTCACGAGGAGCAATGCTATCAAGCTCAGACGAAAGTGGCGGGTTTGAG